GTTCAGAGCACGCCAAGAACTAGTTGTTCAGAGCACGCCAAGAACTAGTTGTTCATAGCACGCCAAGAACTAGTTGTTCAGAGCACGCCAAGAACCAACCAGTTCAAAGAACGAAAAGAACTAACAGGGGGCTGGTCTTTTTTGTAAGAATGCAGTAGATATTCCAGTCCATGTAAAAAAGAATGGCTAACATACAGCAATCAAACAAGGTAACCAATTAGGTGTAAGGAAGAGCGACAGGTTGCAGCTTTGACTCGGCTCGAGATAAACATTGTTACTCGAGCGCCCGTCTAGGGGCGTCTAGATTATCTGAAGTTGTTTCTACCTCCGCAGCTACAGTTGGTTAGAATTTACATCCTGAAGTTCGATCCATCTCCTGCCATACATCTTTGAACCACACCTTACAGCAGGTGCCACGCTTACAGCTGGTACCACACCTCACAGCTGCTACCACGCCTTACAGCTGGTACCAAGCCTTACAGCTGACACCACTTATTACAGCTGGTACCACTTTTTGTCCTTATACTTGAGCATGAGCTGACGCGCTGCAGAGCTGAATGACTCAGCTTCGTGCATCATCTTGGCAGTTTTCTCGTCGAGCTCGCCCAGACGCTGGCCCCTCTCGATGGCTGCCATCTTGGCCCTGCCGATCTCGGAGGTGGCGTTGCCGGCGCGGGCGTTCATGGCCTCCATCTGCTGCTGCGGCCCAGGCACGTGCTTAGCCACTGAGCTCGCAGGCTTCCCGCTTGCTTCGCCGACTGAAAAATATTAATGCAATTAAAATCGGTCCTGATGACGAATTATGATGAGTCGGCTTTTCCGACTGCAAAATACAAATGAAAGACTATCACTGGACGCCTGCCGTAACTATTAAACTTATCAGAATGATCAGAGCCCTTACGGCAAAACGCCGGTAACTATCTCGTAAAAAGTTCAATTGCACTGGGATGTTCATTAAAACTTCGGTAACGCGTATAAAACTTAGTTTTATTTCAGCAAAGCACTTCAAAGGGATACGTTTAAAAAATAACAGAACAAGCACGATGGACATTACACTGCTTGATGGAGCATATGAGCACAGCCACACAAACTAGCGTTTGAGCACAAAATCGCTAACGGAGCAACGGAGCGAGGTGAGTTAAGGTATGAACCTCACTGTAGGGCTGGCGGGACACGACTGCCTACCTGACACACAGACGCTCAGACCTGACCTCATGCTATGTCTCTACCGCACAAGTAAGGTCCGACATAAATGTTACCAAGGCGGCTACGCTAGATGTGGCTTTCGGTATGCCCACGAGATAAAATGAACACAGCTAATAGTGAACGAAGTTCATCGTTCACAAGACGAAGCGTTATTTGCTCCTGGATCCTGCTGTTTTTTTTTGTCATTGAACACCAAGTCCTGCAGCCCATCAGATGCTACTCAGCTGACCACAGGGTTGATACTCGCCATCGGTACCACTCATTAACACAGCTACCATCATCAGTATTACGGTGATAATGGTAGCTGTTATCATCATTCACGACTGTTATCAGCATTACTCACAAAGCTCCTCCCGGTCAAGCTGTGACACGCCTCCGCCGAAGAGCCCTTTGAAGAAACTCTGCTTCGGCGCCTCTGGCATCTCGCAGGGAAGGAACAAGTCGCCTAGCAGCTCCTGCAGGTCCTTGCTGCTCGGGGGGCAAGACTTACAGTTTACAGGTCACACAGGCAGCAGGTCACACAGGCAGCAGGTCACACAGGCAGCAGGTCACACAGGCAGCAGGTCACACAGGCAGCAGGTCACACAGTCAGCAGGTCACACAGGCAGCAGGTCACACAGTCAGCAGGTCACACAGGCAGCAGGTCATTCAGTTAACAAATGATTTATTGCATTAACTAATGTCGGAACAACCATCAGGTCGTTAACTACGACGACTCAAGCAGCTTATGCATTAAATTTTTTAAACATAAATCATTTAATTAATTTCTTTAAATCATCTAATGACATAGCGTCCTTCCATTTTATGTATACTTTCACAAAATTATTCACAAGATGATTATTAAGGACGTAAAATAATCACCAAATATCCGCAGACAATGTGAACTTCTGGAGCTCAGAGGGCGAGCAGAGGTACATGCCGTGGCCGTGGTTCGTGAAGCAAAAAGTTCTCGCGATCCTGAAACCAAAGACACGATGAAATCAGGGAAGCGGCAGGGGAAATTGCCTCAAATTCGGGAAAATTCTTTCCCGAATTCTTTCAAATTCGGGAGCCCTGGGGAAATTGCCTCAAATTCGGGAAAATTATTCGTGATACGGCAAACATCGAAAAATGTGAACTCGAAAATTTCAAAATTTGAAGTTCCACTGAAAGAGTTGAAAATGGGTGGGGGGAATAAGAGTTTCCAGAGACTAGAAGCTTGATTGTTGAAGCTTTGATTGTTGATAAAGTGTTGAAGCTTGATCTCTGTAATACTTTATAACAGCGTGGACAACAAAGGCACGGGTAAGTGGGCTTATAAATGGCATTGAACGAGTATGTGGTATATGAGCAACGTCTGACTCAGCTGGGTGAGTTGAATGAAGATAAGCCATATTAAGAGGCCTATACCCCTGATATGAGAAAGGCTCGCTGGTTAACCATGCAGGGTTGGACATAAGGTACGGATACACCTACCTATACTAGTATAGCAGCTAGAAATGTTGCGAATTTGTTTACATTCTAAAGCATAATAGTGGATATGATATAATTGTTTCAGAAACGGATTCAACATTGGATTAATATCAGCCATGATAATTATTGAAAAATGAGAGACGGAAGAGGTTCTTGCCAAACTTATTTAAAAAATCAAGGTTAAAAATAATAAAAAAACTATAGGATTGGATTTTTTCTTGAGGTAAACTCGAATATCCTTCTGGATGTCCATGCACGAGTGATGGTGTTTGTGTGTGACATTTTCGAAGGATTACAGCGTGGCAGACCACCGGTCTCATTGCGTGACGTAATAATCAGTGATCAAAAACTGATGAACAAGTTGTCAAGTAATTAAAATTTATTTATCAATCAAGTGCGCAATGAGTGTCGGCAGGCAAACATTGAGTATACGAAGACTGGCACCCATGGTGAAGTGAACACAACCTAGCAGCCATAGTGGTTGATATGCACTACCAATGGCAAGTGTGGTAGTCAACACGAGTAAGTATAATAGTTAATAGTTAAGTGAGCGAGCAAAAAATCAAGTGAATTTTAAATCACAATTTCCGACACAATTTTTGGGTTTCCGATATCTGAATCTATTGTGTAGCTCAGAGTCAGATGCGTCTTCTGGAGCCTCGAAGTATTGTTATCACTTCTTTAGCGTGGTCTGAATCTGAATTCCTAAGCTGAGAAACACAACGCAAATTTTAGGTGATGCGCAACATTTCCTGTTCGATTCGAAGATGTGGCATACCTGCTTCAGTCATCTAATAACCTTCCACATACAAATACTGGAGGAGTAAGAACATAGAAGATGTGCAAAAAATAACGCTGAAATAAGAGATTTTCACTTTTTTTTCCTTTAAGTATCTTGCTGACTGGAATGGGATGTCAAGAACAGGAGACATGTTCAGCTTAGATGAAAGCTATTCAAATTTCTGCCCGGTCAGGGGACAGCTGGCCTGTTATGGGCCCTTGGATGAGAGCTTGGCGAGGTCAGGCCACCCACCGGCCAAATGACGTTGAAACAACGTTGATTACGAGTTAATTATTCTAAGAATCGCTCTGTCAACTTTACATTAACGTCAGATAACAGGTGGGCAGCGCGTCTTTCTACTACAGAGAACAGAATATGTCATCGTTACGGAGGCGGAGGAACGAGTGAACACTTCTAGAATTTGTCCGGTTCAGAAGCGTAAGTTTTCGTAGGAAAAAACATGGAAACATGGGGAAAACAGAAAACAATTTTTGCAATTTCTAACCCAAACAGTGCAGTGCGCCCCACGTACTGCACTCATGAGCGAAGCGTTGCAAAATTGATAACTTATCGAATGTTTCAAAACTTATGTACTGTTTAATCTGGATTAACGTGTAATCAACACTGAGCAAACTAAACGACACAATTACTTACGTCACATGACGCAAGTCAGTTCAAGGCAGGTATGGAGGCTGCATGCTCAAAACTTCTTACGGTAATCGTAAGTATCATAAGAATCGTGAATTCAAGTTATGCGTTCGCAATTTGCAGGCTGAAGTCGCAACTTGAAATGTGATTGAAAGTGAAATAAGATTTAGAGTAACGCAAGAGGTTCCGAAGCATGAGACTAACCAGCGCACACGAGAGAGGATACCGCTCGAGTTTCTGCGAGGGTTGTGAAAGTCGAAGGATTCGAATAGAAATGAGAGCTGTTGGAATAACCCTGCGATTCTATAGAAAATGAGAATGATTAGACGGGCACATGACCGATACGGCACTTTAGGATTGACTAGAATCAAGACTGGCAAAAATCATGAAGTTGATTACTGGAAGCAGCATTTCCTCCCCTCAGCTCTACGACCGACATACCGTATATAGGTAAGAGCGCGAGCCATGACGAGTACAGCGATCTTTCTGCTTCATCATTTGCTACCGCGTACGAAATTAAGTGTGAACGATTGTGGGCGGTGAAGCGCAGCAGCAAGCGCTTCACCGCTCATATCGTTGCCCCTGGTGTAAACGGGCCTATAGAATGTTGACGCCGTCAACAGCGCCGCACATGTCCAAAATTCGATCTACCAGGTATATGATCTTGAAATAACGTTGATTAAACGTTGTTTCAACGAAATCAGCTCGTAATCAACGTTGTTTCAACGAAATCAACGGTAATCAACGTTGTTTCACCGTCATTTTCCTGGAAGTTTGCAAGTTATTCGAAGCTGGTGACATAAAACAGCAACAAACTCCATGCTGGAAAACCGGAAAAATTATTGTCATTTCTCAGTGAACCAGAAACATTTTTACAGAATATTTTTCAGAAACGGCAAGAGAACTTCCATTAAAGTTGACGGCATCGACGACAGGGCAAAAATCTAAGTAGAAGCACAGGGGATAAAAAACGGGATGGCTGGCGGGTCGCCCTGTTACCTGTCATGGTAGGCGGTGACACGTCGGGGTCACGACGGTTGAGTACTTGGTACTTCTACCATCTCTACCATGCAGATCTACAGTACGCTAATTTTCTACCATCTCTACCATGCAGAACTACAGTACGCTAATTTTCTACCTTTCTCTACCATGCAGAACTATGGTACGTTAATGCAGCAAACTGCAGTACGCAGCCAACTGCAGTACGCAGCCAACTGCAGTACGCAGCCAACTGCAGTACGCAGCCAACTGCAGTACGCAGCCAACTGCAGTACGCAGCGAACTTCAGCCACAACACGCAACACACAAAGTAATAAGCTACAAAATACAATTAACAAAGATCGCTAAGCATGGCCACCGGACTCGTGGGGACTGGATGCGCGAGGCGCACACCTCGACGCCGGGATGAAGAACAATAAAAAGACCGTGCATGCCGGGTTACACGCGTGGCACGTTAAGGCCAAAGTGGCCAATTTGGGTCTCAAGTTAATCAGGTAGAAGAGATGGCAACGTCATTTTTTGGAATGATAATTTCATTGAAAATGAAGGTATGAAGAAAAAATACAGTTGATGAACAACAAGACAAGTTGAAATATCGCTTTACCACGTCGGCGATTGCGAATCTAGGTGTTCTTTCGGAGGGTATAATTATACATTAATAGACGGCCAATAAATTTTATTCATGTTATAGTTCACATGGGGGAAAGTGATGAGTACAAGCCATGCTTACGACACGTGCAAGCAACACATAACAAGTGAGGTATACGAATGAGGTATAGAACAAGTGAGGTATATAACAACAAATGCTTAGAGAACACGTGCTGGGTTGGGGGTGTCGTCACGATATCCTCATGGAGGTTTCCACAAGTCGGCTTGGTGGACGTGACAATAGTTTGCTGCTGTGGTGCCTTGGCTTGGTGCCACACTGGACCGCACAATGCCTCCTGACAATGAACTACGGGCCATAATTTCAACTAAACGTAAATTTTACATGAATTATTTTTACACGCCTATTCATTTGATTTCTGGCCATTAACTAGAAGCAAATTAATATAAAATATAAAAGTGATCTAGTGGTGTCCAGCAACGCCCGTAATTGTCCATATGAGCCATTATATATATGGACAATTATAGGAATAGAAAGTATTGCTAGTAATGTGACGTGGACCACAGCAGGAAGCTATTGTTTTGGTGCCTCTCAAAAGACAGCGAGAGACGCCACGACTTGCGGTCTGCACAAGAAGCGTCTCGGGATGCAGGCAAGAGCACCGCAACTGAACGTGACAGCAACTTACTGGTTAGTGTCTTCACACACGAACATTTGCTGGCCCCAAATCGAGAGCATTGGGTCAACAACATTGCCTTGCTTCCTCGTCTGGAAACTAAGATGAAATTGACGAATATTAGCCACGACACACGATACTCCCGCAACATAGCATCAGATCACACCATCACTTCACTGTTTTGTTTTGTATGTACAAAGCTTAACTTTACACAATAAGGTTACAGGCACTCGAGCTTCTAACTTCCACGGTTTCTTCATGCTTATTAGAAAATTAGTACCACATTGCGCCAGCTACGACGCCCTCAATTCGCTTATAGTTCATCACCCAAAATGTAAATCCACAATCTTGAATTAACTGCATACACAAGCAGCAGCTGGCATACTAAAGCAAAGCACGACATTAAAGAGAAGACCAGCACCTCGAATTGATTATTAGTATAACATGAAGCATTGATTTACAAACACCAATTAATAACTTCAAGAGAAACACGAGAATAAAAAGCAAATATCAGCGCTGAATATCAAAAGTGATGAAGAATATATAGACCATTTGTGAACCACAGAGCCCTTGATTTGAACCTATAAACGGTAGAGAGTTTGAGGCGATTTTTATAGATATGGAAGATATTTATAAACTAATTACTATGCACATAATAATCGTCAAACCTAGGACGGCAAGAGAGAGAGAAATTAGTGCAGAGCATGAATGCAAGAGGAGCGCGAGCGGTGCAGTCCACTACAGAGACGAGCATCAGTCCTGGGCGCAGAGCGCTGTACTTTCGCTGCTGCAACACGTCCCATGATTGGCTGGCAGTCCTACGACTCGCTTCAGCTCCTCGACCAATCATAGAGCTTGTGACGGAGCGCTGTACTCGCGCTGCTGCCACAAGCCTCATGATTGGCTGGAAGTCCTACGACTCGCTTCAGCTCCTCGACCAATCATGGAGCTTGTGACGGAGCGCTGTACCCGCGCTGCTGCCACAAGCCTCATGATTGGCTGGAAGTCCTATGACTCGCTTCAGCTCCTCGACCAATCAAGGAGCTTGTGACGGAGCGCTGTACCCGCGCTGCTGCCACAAGCCTCATGATTGGCTGGAAGTCCTACGACTCGCTTCAGCTCCTCGACCAATCAAGGAGCTTGTGACGGAGCGCTGTACCCGCGCTGCTGCCACAAGCCTCATGATTGCCTGGAAGTCCTGCGACTCGCTTCAGCTCCTCGATCAATCATGGTGCGTGTAACATGAGCGCAGTAGGCAGCAGCTGCTTGTGACCACGGCTGTCGCGCTACAATCTTACAGCATGCAAGCTAAGCAAAGATCTCCTCGAAGCTGCAGCAGCACAGCCCTCAAGTTCATACACCAACTGAAAGATCCTTACCATCTTGAATGCATCGCTACTCGCACCTTTAGGTCAAAATATTCAAGGCAGCGACCTCCATGACTTCGGGGAACAGCACAACATGAACAATGCGACGGTTAATGTCTCAAAATAAACGATCAGAAGTCTCTCAGAGTAGAAAAGTCGGTCATCTTCTCGTAATTGGCTTCTCATTGAAGATAATCAAGTAGTTGGACTTGAAGGGCCAAATTATTCTCGATTTATCAACGGTTGAGAGGGTGGAGAGGTCAGAGAGCTACAAAGATGCGGACGGTTAACTTTTTCCACAAGATGACAGGTTCAGTGATTATGAACGTTACTATTACTGCAGGGGCTGAACTTTTGTTCAGTAATAATTTGACCTTTGCTTACTCGGAAATACGATTGCTGACTCACATTGCGCGCTAAGGTGAGAACGGCACTGCAACGACCACTGGTTTAGTCGCAGGGCATGAGGTTGATCGCAGCAAGGTTGGGGTATTTTTAGGGTTCTGAACTACTTTATTGAGTACTATGTTAGAACGAAGTTGATTTGATGCGAGAAGCGTTACCTAATGGGAAATTGAAGATGACAAGCCGCATGGCGGAGTCTTCCCATTAAGTCCAATGCATAAAGTGATGAAAAGTAAGTGGACAGAATTATAATGGAACAATAGCAATAGAAGTAATTTACCTGAGGTCCACTAATGGTAAGAAGTCTACGTAGGTGAGTTGCCGCAAGCTCGGCAGGTTGAAGATGGCTATGTGGCCTGTGGCGATATAGCAGACCAGGCACACCGCATCTGTTCGGGCACAGGGACCATCATCAACCCATTAACAATAACATTATCGAGGATCATTACCGTACATTGATCCATTAACAGTGACCAGTACATGGACCCATTAACAGTGACCAGTACATGGGCCTATTAACAGTGACCATTACATGGATCCATTAGCAGCGACCATCACCTTTCATTTGGATGATTTCAGCCTTGACGACGAAGGAGACCTCGGTGATGATCTGCTTGTATACGCAGCTCTGGGATGGCAGCTCAACCACTCTAGCGACCTTCTCAGAACAGAAGACGATAAACTGCCGCTCTGTGGGGGACACGAGGTGCTGCTCTGTGCTGCCCCCTCCCCCAGAGTTCGTGGGGGAGAGTCTATTGTTGGGTGTGCCGCTGCCCCCACTGCTTCCACAGGTGGGGGTGCTGGTGCTCTTTGTGGGAGTTCCTGCACAAGAAATTTGGGTTTCGGCGATAGATAAAATGTAAGAGGTGAATAAAGTTGAGGATGAATGCAGGAGCCACTAAGTTGGGATTGACCCACCAAGTTGAGCTTAACCCAACAAATTGTGATTGACCGAATAAAGTCAGTTTCCCCACTCACGGTCCCGTTTGTCCCGCTGCGCGTCCCGCCAAGACTCGAAGCTGCTCCTGATAAGGGCGCCGCTGGCGTCCAGGAAGCACATCGCCAGGATAGAACCCTTCAGCCGGAATATGGTACCTGCAAGATGGCAACACTGGTAATGTGGTACCTGCAGGATGGCACCACCGGCAATGTGGTACCTGCAGGATGGCACCACCGGCAATGTGGTACCTGCAGGATGGCACCATCGGCAATGTGGTACCTGCAGGATGGCACAACCGGCAATGTGGTACCTGCACGATGGCAACACCAGTAAAATGGAGCATGCAGGATGGCAACACCGGTAATGTGGTACCTGTACGATGGTAATACTCACCCCTAGGGAAAACAGAGACAGATCAGCTGGCCCACCCAGTTAAAATTTTGAGCCGAGACCGGCGCCGGGTTTAGCCGGGCTGGTCGCGCTTTAGCAGGATGGAGCCGTGAAACAATAACCGGCCATCTATCCCTAAAACTGCGCTGCGCCATGGCTGATATAGAGACAAAATTCTAGCATCTGGGTAGGGCCGGAACTCTGCGCTGTTTTAGCGCTGGTACTTGGGATTGTCCGGCAGGGAGCTGTGCAGAGCAGCTAGCAGGCCGTGAATGGGGGGGTTTTGAGAGAGGGAGGAGGGGTAGGGGTTGGAAACAGTGACGAGAGAATGAACTTCATCCTCCATCTAGTTCATTCGCATAGCACGATATTTTGGGCCAATTTCCGGTGCCATTTGTGATATTTATTTCACGTCAGTATTTCAATACTTCGAATTACGTAAGAATTTTATATGCTCTTCCAGTTTTAACACTCTAACAGAAACGTTGAAGGTCATTCATGCTTTGCTAAAGCGAGATCTCAATCAGTTTATCATGAGAAAGTTTTCTAACATGGATATACAGGAAACGCGTTAATAGCAGTAAATGTTAGAGCAAAGAAAATACCGAGGTCTCCGAAACGTTTTCATTGAAGATTTGGTGAATTTATTTGGCGCTTTCTTTGCATTAAAACTATTGGAGAACTTGCGATTTCAGTTGACTAATGATTTGCGTACGTTGTTAATTTTCCTATCTACCTATCGCATGATATGAAGCTAATGCAATAAGATAAATTACTAAACAAATTTAGCTCTAATACTCACTTACATCTAACTGACGGGATCATACGAATGGCTACTTTGTTGATGTTTTAAAATTAGTGAATTATGAATAATATCTATCAAGTTCAACCACAAATATAGCTATTCCCCGATCATGGCGAGTCATTTGTTCAGTATTATAGTTAAGTAGTTCATAGAGCCTAGGCTGGTAAGGTGTCCGCGCGGTCAACTGGTACAGGCTTGAACTACGACGCGGAGAACCTGAGTTCGAATCCCGGAGCTTCAGTCGACGTTTGCAGATAGTTCATAGCGGTGAGTAATTTGATGTGTATATTTCCTCGATAAATGAATTTGTTCAATTCTAAATTACGTTGCTAATGTCAATACGATGAGAATGTCAATAACCAATGTCAAAACCACCTGTCATTGCAAGAGAGAAGGAACAGATTTTTTTTAATCGTTGTTGACAAACGGTGACGCGTAACTGCCGCGTACACTGCCAGAGCCGCCCCAGAGCAGGCGTTGGGCAGGTTTGAGCAGGCGGTGCTCAGTAAGGGCTGCGTGACGGCAGGACAGAGCACACCTGGGCAGGTACTCAGAAGCTAATTAGCGCTGATACGCGGCTGGCGATATCGTCTCTAAAGCGGACATTTCTGCTCTATCGCTGCTCTGTCGCGTCTCTACGCCGGCTCTGCAGCCGGCGACGGCCTGCTCTATTCCCTGCCCTAAATTTTAACTGGGCAAATGAGGGCGGATGCGCGATAGTCAGAGGCGGTGATCTATCGTGGCCTGGTACTGCTGCGTCCGAAACAAATACTAAGGGTATTGAGATTGGTAAATGGTAAGCCTGACAGGCACTCACCACTAGGGAAGACAGAGACAGGGTTGGTAAAGGTGCTTATACAAGAGGCGAATAGTCTAATGCAACTAAAATTTGTGATGATTGACGTGTTCAGAGGCAACTAGCTGGTGCATTGCACGCAGAGCAGCTCGAGTTGTTTTGAAGTAGTCGCGTCGCGACTCTCGAGTGCGCCCAGTGGGCCAGTACCGCCTCGGCCGTTTAGCATGCGCAGCTGCGTCGCTCTCTCTCTTGCCCACTTAGAGCGCACAGTTTCAGAGCTCTCGCATGCCTCCGCCATGCACACACCTTTACTCGACAACTCCCAACGTCGCACTGGCGGCGCTGGCGCACTGTACTGAAAACACTCTCCTCGTGTATAGGCTCTCAGCCTGCAAAACTGTAGTAGACGCAACTATTCGCCCCGTGTATAAGCACCTTTAGCCAGGTAGGCAATCACCACTAGGGAAGACAGAGACGGGGTTGGTAAGCCTGGTAGGCTCTCACCACTAGGGAAGACAGAAACGGGGTTGGTAAGCCTGGTAGGCACTCACCACTAGGGAAGACAGGGACGGAGTAGGTAAGCCTGGTAGGCACTCACCACTAGGGAAGACAGAGACGGGGTTGGTAAGCCTGGTTTCAGCGCTGGGTATGGACACGATCACTTGGATGACAGAACCTAGGCTGGTGCCGACCCACAGTGTTGGCAACATTTGGGCATCTGCAACGTGTAGAAATTTGGGGGAATCTTAAAACACAATAAACAAACACTTTGGTTTTGTTAAAAATAGTAATAAATAAGAATTTGATTGTTCTCATCATCAGTTTGTCTCGACAACCAAGAGAGTTAGTCATCAGTATAGATTTAATATTACCGTTTCGTATTAACCTGCTATTACTGATACCTAAGTCCATCTCGCATCTCGTAACTGGGCAATACTATTGAATTCTAAAGAACACTCGTGGTCACGACGACATAGTAAGTAGCTTTCGCTGCATGATCATCCCACGATATTTGGATTTTTGATTGAAATGTTCAGTTTTGACTTGATGGTGAAAATACGTTGTACGTTCTCATCGTACACGTTATTAAAATTAGTCGTTACAATTTTTGTCGTATATTTGAAAGGCACTAACCGTTTTTCTTGACGTAGGAGTCAGCGAAGGTAAGACACTGGATGGCCTCACTGCTGATGTTCTCAAGGCTACTTATACTGGAGGACCGCGACCGACTAAACGAGCCGTCTAACTTGTCTGTTGATTGTGACGGCGAACAAGCAGACAAGATTCGAGGAATCACATGGTCGTAACGAAGAACCAGCAGACAGGATTCGAGGAAACACGAGTTCGAAGACGACGAACCGGCAGACAGGGTTCGGGGAACCGCGTGGTCGTAACGAAGAACCAGCAGACAGGATTCGAGGAAACGCGAGTTCGAAGATGACGAACCAGCAGACAGGATTCGGGGAACGGCGTGGTCGAGAACAACATCGTTTATTTCATCGGTGGGGCGATGACGATCAAGTAACATCAAAAGACGCGTAAGTTTTGGTCCACGAGGGGAAAGAACATGCCAATTAGATGAAGATAACGCATGAAGAACACCGAAATATGATATAGAGCTTGTTTAAACTTGCGTCAAATAATACAAAATATTTCCAACATTGTAATAGTTCGAGTATAACAATAATATATATTCCATAATACAGTAGAGAGATTGGTTGTCTGTACAGTTGAGCTGAGCAAACACAACATGTTATAAAAGGACAGAACGAATCCATTTACGTTAGCAGTTCAAAGCAAGGAATTTCAGAAATGTTAACTGTTGCATTAAGATTGCAACTCCATAAATCACATGAACGATTAGCTTCATCTTAGTGCTGACTAGAAGGGCTAAGTATTGTATCTATGATACGTGCGGTAGTAGCATACCCACATAGAAGGTGACAGCCATGCAGGCGAGTGTGTGTAAGGTAATGAGGAAGATGAGGATCATGCAAATAATGAAGCAGAGGAGGATCCATGCACGTAAGAGTGTTGGGGACAGTGGGGGAATAGGAGGGAAACAAGCGACCAATAGTAGCCCACAGCCTTACCTGGCCTCATCAAAATCAAGAAAAACTTTGCTAAGCTCGAATCGGAAGCTCATAACAGAATAGACTCGTCTCAGCTCAAATGGGCGTTAAGAACGGAGACGAGCGAGATGAGTGGCTCAACATGGTTTAAAAGATTGCACATATGAAAGGGCTTCAGACTTGATTCATCTTCTGGGTATGTCATTCAACACTATAGCGTCGGATGTTGTGGCTTCATCATTAATCAAAATAAATGATGCGCTTGGTACTTTAACAAGATTTGACCAACCGCCATGCATGTATTTCGGGGACTCAGGTTCAGCAACAGAATGTTTGTCACTGCATGGCGTCTTATGGTTATTAGGCGTCGCTTTTGATCTCATGAAGAGGTAAAAACAAAATTACGAGGAATAGATGTGAGCCAGGAGAGCAGAAAATGTTGCGATAAAGTGTACTAGAACAACGGCCTTGGTGGTGTCAAGATGAGAGTAGCCCAAGAGACTCAGCCGTTGATGGTGCACAACTAGTCAGGCTATTACCAATCCTAACAAGTATCAACATAAAAAGTCATAAATGAATTTACAAGATGAATAAAATAGTTGTTATTCGCACAGCTAGCAGAGGAGGGAGGGAGTCCATGCAACAAGCATTTATGTTAATATAAACTGTGAAGAAGCGTTATTTCTCACTCTGACCACACGCGAGCCATCACAGCGGTGCAGCAACCACCCCACAAACAAAATTGAAGAAATTAGCCTCATTAGCGTTTGGCGACTCCAAAATTTACACGCTGAGGCGTGTGTAAATTTTTTTTGGTTAGCAACACTGAAAACGACAAATGTAAGGTAAGACTATTACTTTAGAGAACAGTTGTTTAAAGAACGCCTGGTGATGGCAAGTGATGAGATCAAAGATTGGATTAGGCGTGCAAGGAGCAAGGTTGTTACTGACCATGCAAATGACAATGTTCCTTAATTAAATGATGTATACACGCAAAAGCAGTAACAGAAGCCAGGAATTCGCAACCCAAGCCAGGTATGAGCAAACTAAATGTATTGCGCAGTCACGGCAGCACGCAACTCAGTTCATAAAAGCTAAAAAATACATTAAAATATGTGAATAAATGAGCAATTCAAAGAAAAAAATTCAAATCCATAAAGATGGATTCAACGTAATGGATAGCACCCGCCAATACATGGACGATCTTCCATGACTTGATTATCGGAACTTTAGGCAGACTTTCGAAGTCGTAGCACTACTGGAAAAGCTAGTTGAAAACGGTCGTATTGACTGCATTTTGCAGCAACTATGGAGGAGTTTCGGGGCAAATGAGTATTGAAGGGCTAGGGTACTTGCAACCACTCTAGGGTATCACATTTAAGAATAGTTGTAGAGACTTGCCTAGTTTTGAATTAGAGGTTATGTTAGTTTATTTACATTACTGTGATGAGTTGAGGCTTACGTAGCTAGTCACACTGCGGCCAACACGGCAACTCAACATAGAAACGATCCTCACAGTTAACAACTTGAAACCAACGTTTTCAAGCTACAATTATCATGTTACTCATTTCCTTAATACTTTGTGCAGTATTTTTCTATATTGGTCGCACTTTAATCAAATCTTTATTAAATTATATCTCAAATTTGCCCCAGCTTGCAAACCATTCAAGTAGCGACTCGAGCTTTGCTCTCGAGCTCTTTTTTTTCTAGAAATCAATAAAGGTGTTCGCATGATTATTTTCATACTTAATTTATTTTTTGCTTTCACAAACCGGTGGGATCTGACTGAATCGATGTCACCGTTGGTTCCGAGCATCCCGTCAATATGATCTTCGTACCGAGATAAAATAGATTCCTTTCAATAACCGTTTCAATAATTTGTTTCGAGTCAAACAACAGGTTTGCTCACACGGAAAAGGACTAGGGGAAAGGGAAAAAACACACAAATTCTTGTCCTTCATACACTATTCACAATAAATACGGAAATTTTTTACTTGAAAAACTACCTCTTTTAAGGTAAACATGACCTTTCCAAAAAACTATGGCAAAATGGAAATATCAAGAAAGCAAAACTTAGCGAAGCAAGATAAAGCATCATTTGGCCAAAACAATGCGAACGAGAATGTAAGAGGAACAAACATAACGAGTTAACGCCTGCCTATCACGCAGTTGCAGCGTTAGTAATGTGCTTGGCTGAACCCTGATTATGATGTAGAACACGGTAGTGGTAAATGATGTGTTTACAATAAGGTTGCAGTCATATAGCTGGCAGTTTTAACTGATGTAATGATTAGCTGAATTATTCTTTTGTTGTATTTAGACGAAAATGCTTCAACCAATCACGGTGAAGCGCTGCAACTGCGGTTACTCTCATGATGTAGACCGAAAATTCTTGTCGAGAAGACGTTTAGTCGCTTTTTACTCGCGGATATCGGTTTAAGAATAGATTAGGCAGTACACGAACACAATGGGCGGCACACTGACACAAAGGACAGCACACAGACACAGAGGGAAAGGGAGGAAATCGGGAAGATGTTTTGAGGTTAGGGCAGCGACGGCGACTCCTAATGGGTTAGACACTCATTGGGTAGCGGGCGGGGTATCTTGGCTAGGTACCCAAGTTTTGGGGTCGGGACTATAAACTAACGTGGGTGATTCAGCAACGCACTGGGGGAGGGTACGGGCCACACCAGGGGTTCTGTTATTTGGCTCACTTTCCTTCACGAGAAAAAGCCGGTATAGAACTTGGACTCGTATATAGCATACGCATAAATAAAAGAGAAAACTAAACGTTTCATGTAATTTATCAATATAAATTATGACTTTCTTCATTATTAATTATTCAATCCAAAGAAAAATTACCGCAATGAATTCAAACACAAATACGTACTATTTTGCCGCCCAAAGTTCGCGCGCGAGCGATGCCTGAGAGCGAAACGGTGTACAGGGAGATGTTGAGAAGCAGTGACGAGTTGAGTTATGGAAAAGCATGCGCCAAGCTGTATACTAACACTAAACTGTAATCTCAATGAACACTTTAGTAGCCTCAAGCTTTGCGCTCTAGACAGCGATGCTCGCAATCACTGCTTTGGCCTGGGCGGCTCAGGCTCAATGGGAGGGTAATTTGTATGAGGCGCACCAACGTGGCCGTGAGCGGAGTCGTCCAGAACACATTATAAGCGGAATAAAACTTAGATTCCACTACCTCCTCTCCCCATTGTCAGCTTGTACCTAGTGGCTGTAATCCTCAATCAACCTCTTTGAGAAAGCATCGTGTTTCCCACGTGAACGTACGCGCCGATTGATAAAAGTCGGAAGATTATTTAGAGTTAAGTGGAGATTTAGGTACAAGTAGGTTGATAAAAGGAGATTTAGACATAAGTATGTTGTTAAGTGGAGAGTTTGATATAATTATGTTTTTTAGAGAGTTAAGTAGCTGTATGTACAAATCACAAAGAGGAGGTGGGCTTCACAGCACAAGTGAGTACCTGAAGCTGAGAACACTCAAAACAGCTCCCAACCCAAATTCCACAATGAGTATTATGCAACGAGCTCGCAATGAAGAGCAGTGAACAATGAACAGTACTGGACAATGAAGTGCAAGAGGCCATAAAGAATATTGGGCAACGCTTGGAAGTTTTGAGTGTTCAGAGGCACAGGACGAGCGCGGTGGTGTTCCGCTGTACGTACAAGGCGACCAATGGTCGCAGCCGAGGAGTTTGGTGATGGATGCAGTTACTCGGTATTTAAAAAATTTGCTAATATAACGAACTATAAAATACAAGTTCTGCTGAAACGACCAGACTTTGTAACAAAATGTAAGCTAGTTTTGTTAAGAAATTTGAAGAGCATTCAGCGCACGTCGACGATTTGACTCAAGCTCCCGCCGATACTTGCTGTTCTGAATAGTGAATTCAATTGATGGAAATAGTCAACCAGCAGATTTCCTAATTGAATCGTTTTTGCTTCTAATTTTCTGGTTGGGGATGCATGTTAGTGGCCAGCATTGACCTATACCATCAATATTATAATCCTCGTGCGCAAGCATGTTGCTGAATAGCGAAGCCTATGAGGTCAAGTGATTAGAGCCACGGACGCCATATGACCGCACCTACTGCTTCAGAAAGTATAATCTTCACGAAGGCTGCATCACAGCATTACCCCAGCATTACCCACTTA